CACCCTGAAACAATAAAACTTCTTATAGAAAACATAGGAGAAACACTTCAGGAAGTAGGACTTGGCACAGACTTCATGAATACGACTCCAAAAGCGTGGGCAACCAATGGAAAAATAGATAAATGGCATTATATCAAACTAAAAAGCTTCTGCACAGCAAAAGAAACAATTAACAGAGTTAAAAGACAACCAACAGAGTGGGAGAAAATATTTGCAAAATATACATCTGACAAAGGACTAATATCCAGAATATACAAGGAACTGAAACAACTTTACAAGAAAAAAACAAGTAACCCAATTAAGAAGTGGGCAAAATAGCTAAATAGGCATTTCTCAAAGGAAGATATACAAATGGCCAACAGACACATGAAAAAAATGCTCAACATCACTCAGCATTTGGGAAATGCAAATCAAAACCACACTGAGATACCATCTCACCCCAGTTAGGATTGCTAATATCCAAAAGACTGTGAATGATAAATGCTGGCGAGGTTGCTGAGAAAAAGGAACTCTCATACATTGTTGGTGGGACTGCAAAATGGTTCAGCCTGTATAGAAAATGGTATGGAGGTTCCTCAAACAATTGCAGATAGATCTACCATATGACCGAGCTATCTCACTGCTGGGAATATACTGAGACGAATGGAAATCATCATATAGAAAGGATACCTGTCCTCCNAAACTAGTCAGGCACAGAAAGAGAAATATCACATGTTCTCACTTATTTATGGGAGCTAAAACTAGATAAATAAATACACAAATAAACTGGGGTGGGGGAGGGAAGAAGACACAACAATTTCAACTCCTTGAAGTTGATGTGACAAGCGAACAGAAAGGAGTTTGTTGGGAGGGAGGGAGGAGAGGAAGGAGGGAGTGAGGTTTCGGTAATGGGCCACGATAATCAACCACATTGTATAATGACAAAATAAAATAAAATTTAAAAATTAAAAATAAAAGAATTTTTACAATCAGAAAAAAATAAATAAAGGTCAAGGCAGCAGGTTCTTGAACCTCTTTTTCATTATTTGGGGGCAGTTTTATTGTAAATTTGTTGTAAAAGTAAGGGACAATTTTTTGGTGGTGTGACAGTGTTACCTACCTGGTCAAACAGCCTAGCACATGGTAATTACTGACACTGTCCCCGATCATTTCTGCAGCTGTAGATAAGGCTGTAAGAACAACAGGGTCACTTTGGTGCCCTGTAGGGATGAACTACAAAGGTAACAATTACAACTTGTCAATGTATAGCTAAGGGCTAGGGCTCACACACCCTTCAAACCTGCTGTACAAACTGGATCACAGACCCCTCACATGCCAGGCTGGGTCACCAGACCCCTCATACACAGGGGGGTCTCAATTACATGAGCTGGGTAATTGGGAAAGATCCTGGGAGCCATTGGCAGACGCCATGAGCTCAGTTCTCAGCTTCCTTAGCAGCAGCAGCAGCAGCTTATTGATCCAGCAGCAGCTTACAGCAGCCTATAGCGGCAGCAGTGGTGGCCTCTTGGAGGGTCCTGGAGGGCCCTGGCAGCAACAGCTTGCAGCAACGGTCTCCAGCAGCAGTAGTGGGCTCCCCGTGACCACCCCTCCCCCAGGGGTATCCTGGGGGCAGGGGGGCACTGTGTAACAGAGCCACTTGTCCTTTATATTTAAGTCCGATAGCCCAGGACACCTGGGTGTGAGTCAGACAACCCAGGAACACGGGTCCCCATGTGTAATTACATTAGACAATAAGCAAGTAACACCTGGGTGCACGTGCATATTTACATCAAATGCTCGGCAAGATTCTGAACATCTGAGGGAGTCCTGACCATTTTCTTGTATTTTCCCTACAGTCAACCTCCCCCCTCTCCAAGGTATCTTGTTTCAAATGATTGATAATGTGGTCACCTTAATTCTAGTAGGTATGCTATAAACAGGCAATTATAATTTTCAGGGGCCAGCCCGGTGGCGCACTGCTACAGTGCACCGCTTGGGAGCGCGGCGGCGCTCCCGCCAAGGGTTCGGATCCCACATACAGACCGGTTCCCACTCACTGGCTGAGTGAGGGGCGGGCGCAGCACCGAGGGTTGCGATCCCGTTGCCGGTCCCGGTCCGGTACGGGCGCGACACTGAGGGTTGTGGTCTGTTGCCGGACACGAAAAAAGACAAAAAAAAAGGAAAAAAAAAAAGAATTATAATTTTCAGACTATTTCACATAGAAAAATCAAGGGAGATAAGTAACACTATTATCCACATTTTACAAATGAAACAGAGGCTCTGAGGGAAGGATTAAGAGACTTGCCCAAATTCACACAAATCCAGTTTTAAAAATTTGTTCTTTTTCTTTTTAGCCCCAAATATTATGTACTCAGTTGCCTTGCCCATGCTGATAATAAAGTCTTCATTGAATTTATGTTTATGTATACCCAGTTCTAATTACTAGATTTTAACTCTTCATGTTTTCCTATAGAGAAAACTTAGTCCGTATCAGTGACTTTTCAGTATTCAGAAGAAGCTAGCAAATTGTGAGAGTTTCCACAGAGAAGCAATCAACATACTTGTGGTTATACCACAATATTGTTTAGGGTGGTTATTTTTTCCTTTTAATTGTTACATATGAATTAACAAGAGGTAGGAATGACAATACACTTGTTTCAACATGTGATTGTACTCAGCAATGATTATTTTATTTGACTAAAGTTAAATAAATTACAGTCAAAAAGACATTTGTCATTATTCATTTGTTGTTCAGAATCTGTGGTTACAGATGAGAAATTATAGCTCTTAATGACGTAATTCAGAAGGTCACAGCAGCTGGTTGAAGACTGAAAAGCCCTATCACTCAGTCCTTCAGATGGTCTGACATCAGATAGTCATGGCCAAAATATACTCTGTGCGGTTGGAAAATGACACCCAACTCTTCATTTGACTTTTCGCCTTGCGACCTTGAAGGTAATAAAACTGTGAAGGTGCCAAAGATCAGAACTCATCATTTTAAAACTTTCACCCCAGAACTTTTCCTCTGTCATAACACCTGTGCTGAGTGATACGTTGAGACCAGAACCACCTGCACAGCTTCAGTAGGACACTTTATCAGTTGAAAGAAAATGCTTTGTAATAGGGTCCAGCCTAGCTTTGAGGTTGGGAGGGATGGTTTTATTTACTTCCCAGTAGGAAAATATCTACTGTAGATTAAAGAAGAATTAGAGCATTATCTGGTTTGATTCTGACATCAGAAGTGCAGATTTTGGAAAGTGCTTTAAAGCAACTTTGTTTATAAGTGAGAGTATAAACTGCTAAAACAATGTCTTGACTTAACATTAAGTTGTACATTCTATTTTAGCAGTGAGCACAGAACTTTTTTAAAAGTCAAGTACAGGAAAGAATAAATTAAATCTTAATTCTTTTCACCCTGTAAAGACAAACTGTTAACCAGATTACAAAATACTCATTGCCATTAAACATCAGTCAAACTGAATTGTCCCTATATTACCATAACATAGCAGGAAAAAAAAAAAAAAATCCCAGTACGAGGACTCTAATAGTGAGTATATGATTCTTTACCTACAATTAAGAGAGCCAAGATAGGTCCGATATCAAGACTTGGGGCTTCTAAATCATTCTTCTAAACGGAGTATGTGCTAATTCAATTACTAACCTTTTTTGGTTGCTACCATACATACAATTAGCATTGTATATATTACTATGAAATTATATTCACATCCAGATCTCCTGTGTTCAGAAACAACATCCCGTATATTTACATTCTTTAAAAGAATGCTAGCATTCATTAGACACATTGGTCTTGAACATGAAACTCTTTTACTTAGTCACAAAACATGATTCCGAAGAGTAGTTTTTAAATGCTGTGGTGACATGACCTGACCAATCTAATTAAAAAGTTGGGGGAAGTTTCAAATACCTATTATCTTGAGAACACAACAAACAATCACTAAAAGCTGCCTGGGTATTTTCTGGGGGTGGAGAGATTTAAATATTTAAATCTGTACATCTCCTAAGTTTTAAAATGCTTCTATTAATAAGGTATAAAACCAGGACTCAGGGCCACTGAGAATGGATTTGGGCGCAGAGAAAAAGTTTCAGAACACACACAAATTAGGGCAAATTGCTGAATAATCTTTTCATAAGATTTTCTCTAGGTCCTTTTCTTGGCTGCAGGGCCGCAGTAACTTTTTCCGGCTTCCTATCTACTCTCAGTGGCCCTGTTTGGACCTCAGTGCTGGGCTGAAGGATGTTTGAAGAAGTGAGTTGGCAGAAATATGCATATGTAAGGGCATTTAGGAGAAAATTAAACTGGATTCTCTGCAGCATCCAAGGAGACCAGACACATCCTTTAAAACTATGTTAGAGAAAGAACTGTTCCCTGACTGCCTTTTGTGGCGGGTCACTTCATTTTATGTTTTTATCACCTTTCTCCTCTACCAAAGCCTCAAACCATTTAAATCCCACTTCTTAGTCTAAAACACAACAGGCTCTGGTGAATAAGACCTTCCAACATTCAGGCTCTCACTTTACATTCTCAGTCCGGGGTCAGCAAACTTTTTCTGTAAAGAGCCACACTGCGAATGTTTTAGGCTTTGTGGGTCGTACAGTGTCTATTCAACTACTCAACTCTGCTGCTGTACAGCGAACATAGAGTCGTTGTCCATGGTTACCACAATACATAAACAAATGAGCATGACTCTATTCCAATAAAATGTTATTTACAAAAATAGGCAATGGGCGGTCTGTGACAGTTCTATATAATAACCGCAAATGGTGCCTCTCTTATGAACAGCAAAAAGTGCTTCCCATGCTTCTAGCCAGATTAATGCCTATCCACACAGTATTTAGTACACTGATAGTGGATCCACAGCTGTGGCAGAAGAAGCCAGAGTGACCTGAGGATTCAGTGTTTATGATCCAAAGCCACAAAGCAACATGATCAGAAATTGATAGGAACCTGGATGGGCCTGATTCTGTTTCATTAGGAAGCCTGAGAACATAGTCCTTCTTTACTTTTCCTAATCTTGGAGCTGCAATCAGGAGCTGAGGATAATAGCTGTTCTGTGGCAGCAGATGCAGAAGCAGAGCAAAGTAACAAATTATGCATAACATGGTACCTTAGAAATCTTAAAGGGTCAATGCATCTTCCCAAAGCACCAAATATAAGTCAGCACTGAGGAATTCACCGCTTAAGCAACAGGACTCATCAACTCAAGGTAAATTTGCTCAGCATGTGGCTAAAGAAAAAAATCCCCTAAAACAAAAAACAGAACCAGATATATAAAAGTTGTGAGAGTAGCAATAGCCGAGAATCACAGAATTTCCCACAGGTAGAGGAAATCCCACCAGTCATCTTAGCCAGCTATTTCATATTACCAGTGGGGAACCTAAGGCCCAAGGAAGGAGAAGTAACTTGCCCACTTAGTTTGTGAAGGAATCACCAAATCTCTGCCATTTAAACTTCCAATCCATTGCTATTTCACTAAGCAATGTGATTTGAAAGGGGGCTCACTGATCATATAAATGCTCGTGTCACAAGATTATGTTGTAAGTACCCAGCTACCCTTAAAGACAAGTTTTCTGTTGGGATAGAAATGGTCCTAGAACATCCAAAATTTGCTGAGGGAAACAGAATCTAGCACATCACTGGTTTAATGTAGCTGACAAAAAGTGCACAGGATAAAGCATTAAATGGCCATCTTCCCATGAATATAAATGCTGTTCTTTCATGTTGTACGATAACATGGCAAGAACAGACTGGGAAGTTCTTAAATCAAAGCTTGCATTGATCTGTTTCCCTCCTAACAAATCAAAGGCAAATGTTATCCTCATATCTTTGGTGTCTGTGACATAGAGGATTCCTTGGGCGATGAAGGCGTTGCCGGCCTTGGATTTGGGGTACGTGGTATTGATGTGCTGCACCACAGAGAATGTCCTCTCATCCAGTTGTGCGACGAGAATGCTTGAGCCATCCACGCTTGAAGCATAGATAATCCAAAGGCCCTTTTCATCTACAGCTAGATTGAAGTAAGTCTTGGAATTTGCAAAAAGGTATTTTCGATCAAAATACAAGGCATTTTCAAGCTTCAGAGTTTGGGATGTTTTTTTGCCAAATTCAAATCTGGAAAGTATAAAAAAAAAAAAGATATGAGTCACCATATTTGTGACAAAGGTGATTCGTTAGGCTCTTCTATTAAACTGAGTTAGTAGGTCTGGGTGAGGCCTGGGATTCTACATTTCTAACAAGCTCCCCGATAATGCCTGTTCTGCAGTGTAAATGCCAGTGACTCCTGCTAGCAGAGGAAACGAGGAAGTTGCGTGGTGTTGAAGAGAATACTCCTGGGGGTCAGAAGGAATTCATGTCTAAGTGACCACTTACTAGCCATGTGACCCTGGGAAAATTGCTTAGCCTCACTAATTTTCAGGTAGTTGGTGACCTCTTGAAATGCCCTCTCAAAGATTCTTAGAGCTAGGAGAGGCTGTAAAAGATGATCTAGTCCAGTCCTCTTATTTTACAAGTGAAAAAGAAGTGACTAGTTCATGAATATGAATAAGTGTCAGACTCAGAGTTTGAACTTAGGTTTTCTAACTTTCTAAGTTTGGGGGTTATTCCTTCACTCCAGGCGGGGATTTTAAAAAGAACATTTTTAGAAAAAAATTTCACAGCATCCTAAATTAAGAAAGTCACCAGCTGAGAGGAGACACAGCAAAGTCATGGCTCTGAAGACAGTTTTCTTGTCTGGTACGTGGCTGGATGAATTAAACCGTGGCATGGAATCCCACGCCCCTTAGCTCCTGGAGGCTGTGTGATTTGGCAGCCTCCAAATCTGAATCATATCAAAAAAGTGAATTATGATTCAAAAGGTACCTAACTCCAAGAATGGAAATTCAGGGACATCAGGCTAGAAGAATAGAAAAACACCAGAGGGTGCCATTGAGCAGCGCAAGAAATGTACACTGTGTGAACCTGTGGATATGCATTCGAGCGTAACCAACTTTAAGTCCGTTTGAAAAGAAACTAGAGAAGAGTAAGGGCTTGGGAAAGTCCCTGCCTTCCTCTGAATGCCTGGAATTTAGTACTGCGACTTGGCCCCCAGCAGCTGCATTCCTTGGTGAGACTTGTCTCTCCCAGAAAGAACAGGTCTAATTCAAGTCTACCTCTTCCTCAGCTCCCAGCCTGTGGCCTGGCATAGAGCAGGGCTCAGTGCAGGCCTCCTAACCAGTGCACCACAAACTTGGCTTCATTGGAAGACACACTTTCCTAAAGAGGCCAATCCTCATCCGGGGCCTGATGGAGTTTGGACGTGCCATCCCTGCCAAAACTCATGTGGAAGTCTGATCTCCAGTGTGGCAGTGTTGGGAGCTGTTTCAGTCATGAGGGTGGATCTCTCATGAATGGATTAGTGCTGTTAATGGGGGGGTGGGTAGTGAGTGAGTTGTCGCTCTATTCATTCCCATGAGAGCTGCTTGTTTAAAAGACCCTGGCACCTCCCCCCTCTCTCTCTGTCTTATTTTCTCACACCATGTGATCTGCTTTTACCCACCGTCTGCTGTCACTTTCTGCCATGAGTAGAAGCAGCCTGAGGCCCATGCCAGATGCAGCTGTCACAGAATCCTAAGCCAAATAAACTTCTTTTCTTTATAAATTACCCAGTCTCAGGTATTCTGTTATAGCAACACAAAATGGACTAATACAGGGCCCATTCATGCCAGAACTCCCCTACAACTCCCAACCCCCATGTAATGATAGCCCTTTATGACATGGCAGCAGGAAGCTACAAGATTAAATGAGAAGCTCACAGGAAGGTGTGTGTCTTGCCTTCCAAGCAAGAGATGAGTCAGTTGTGCTTTTCTACTAGCAAGAGACCGCCCAAATTGGGTGGCCAGGGAGATGTAGAGATGGTGGGGGAGTCGGGTAGAGGGGAGTGAGAGGCAAAGGAGGGGACACTTCCTGCTATGGCTGAGACCTGTGTCTAATGTGGCTGATCTAATTGCACATTATACTAGGAGTCCCATCCCCATCCTAACATGAACACTCAAATGTCAAAACGATTGTTAAAGCTAGAGCTCACAATGGGTAAGAGGAGGATCAGGAAGAAAGAGAAAAGGGGCCCAGTCCTCCCTCAAGGTCATCGTCTCTTGTTTTGAATGATTAGGACCATAGCATTTGTAATGCAATACTGGGATTATTGTTTCTCATGGGGGTAGAGCTGGAGGGACTCAAAGGCTGTAGTGCCTCTTTTTATTTTTAGTGGAGACCACAGGAGGCGGTCTGTAGTCCAAGGCCATACAGTGAGCAGGCGGAAGAGCTGGAACCAGAAACCAGGTGTCCTGACTTAGAGTTCATCACTTTTGATTTACCCGGGACCCCCTGCTTCTGCCTCTAGAGCCAGGCTTTGATTTCTTCTTCAACCATAAAGACAAAACTTAAGCAGTTTTTGTGGGGAGGCAGGAAGGCTCAGCCTCCCCAGGTGACCCCCTCTGGTCGCCTTGGGAAAGCAGAGGGAGGAAGAGAGCTGGCCCCAGGAGAGCTCCATCAGGATGACAGATCACTCTGAAGGCAGAGACGCCTGACTTTAGGTTGTAGTCCCTACTGTTAATGGTCTCAGTTGTGATGCGAAAATCCTCACGCCCAAAGTTTTTCAAAAAAAAAAAAAAACCTATATCAGAGAGTGAGACCTTCCCAGTGCTGGAGGGAGCTCTGGGTTCTGGCTGCTTCCCTTCTCAAAGGATGAGACAGCTGCAGCCCTTACACTCCACGTCTGCTTCTCCCTGGCTCTGACCTTCTCATGGTGTCCAGACCAGCAGTAAACACATACCCTGGCAGGGGTTGGAACGTGGGGCTCACTCACTGTAGCCTGTGATTCATTTGGTCAACAAACCGTGATTGACTTCTGTCTGCCAGCCCTGAGGACATAAAGATGATGAAAACACAGTCCCTCCCCCTAAGTAGCTCAGAAAAGCACCACGTAGTAGGCGCTGTCTGGGATGCATGAAGAGGGACTGGGTCCAGACAGCCTCACCTCACTATGGTGTTGGAGCCTCCTTTGTGGTAGTAGAGAGAGTTGTTGTAAACGGCATGCCCACAGCCATGGAAGTAATACGGGAGGTGGATGAATGTGTAGCTGCCGTTCAGAAGTGAGGGCTGGTCTTTGAATTCCTTCACCATGATGCCTGTAGGAGGGAAGTCAGGGAAAGGCTGTTACCTGCCATCCAGCAATCAGTTTGGGAGTGAATCGGGGAGGAATTTACAAGGAATGAAGTCAAAAGCAAGTTGTTTACTAAGGTCCACTTTGAAGAGTCCAAGACTCCCAAACACAAAATCAGTTCTCCCTATGGATTCTTGAAATGTTTTTGAAAGCCACAGAATTGGCTGTGCTCCTCCCAAGAGAACTATGTAGCAGCCCCTCCCCACCCCACTCTGTAGTGTTTATAAAATTTTCCATAGAGCAGCATAGGCCTATACCAGGAACAGCAAGTACCTGGCCCTTGTGCAGTCACTGCCCGCCTCCTCCTGCCCCTTCCTGCACTCTACAGCAGTCACTGCTAGTGCACAATATTACTCTTTCCCTTCAAGCCACAACATCCTTCTTACCTGGTAATCTAGGAACTTACTACCAGCTGACCAGTTAACTTTGATGAAATAAAGAAACTATTTCTTCTGTGCTATTTTTTCAGTCAATGACTGTGGCCACCTCTTCTGGAATGAGGCCACTGTTATCACCACTGGCAATTCCTGACCACATCCCTTTGGGACAGTGCGATGAGGGTCATGTTTAGAAACAGCGTAACTCAAGGTGGCACTTCACCATCTCCCCTGAGTTCTCTGTCCAACAATGTGTGAGAAAGATGGCCAAAAGTATGCTCCTGGGAGGGTGCCAACCTTAGAGAAAGACTGCACATAGTTTGTCCCTGACATTCCTTCCATGTTGTGGTTGGGGGTTTATAAGGCCTGCAGCCATATGCTATTTGTTTTCTTCTGGATACTTTACCTAAAATTGGATAGGCTGCATTGGGGGTGCCCTAGTCACGTCCCTGTGACCTGAACTGCAAGCCTTGCCACCAGCATGTTCAAAGGAGGAAGTTCTGTCTACTCATTTGTGCTTTCTAAAATAAAGAGCAATTTATGACAACAATTAGCAGGGATTTAGACACCCAGAATTAGAATAAGCCCAAAGGTGGGCAACAGATCAAAAATACAACTACAACACAGATACGGACCATCTGCCAAGGGAAAGTACCTGAAAAATGTTCAGTCATCCAAATACGATCATCGGTCGTGTTAGCCGACTCTCTTATCCAAGTCCCAAATGTCTCTGTAACTTTTAATACTTGCATTGGGTTTCCAATGGAAGCAATCGTAGATTCTGCCAAAAAAAGAGAAAGGAATATTAATCACCTGCCAATTATTGCTCTAAGGCAGTCCAATTTCTGAATTTCAAAACAGGATGCTTTGTTTCTGTACCTGCTTGTGGGGAATGGTGTTCATTGACTTTCTCGTCAGCTTTTCCAACCAAGGTATCATCATTTGGTGTGGCACATGTCTCACCTAAAGTGACAACAATAATAATCAGAGCAAATACAGTTGGCACAGTGAGATTTGTGTGACCTCGTAACTGCTGCTTTCCCCTACCTCATTCCAGATTCTAGTCCCACCAAGTTTCTTGGTTGCTGGCTTTTAAGCAACCCCAAACCATACTCTTCTAAAATTTCCCCCTCTGCTTGGTGTTCCCTACAAGCTTTCCACGACCATAGTTGCTAAGATGATACAATTCTAAGAAGATGTCAGTAAAAGAGAAAAGGTGGCCTGAGCTAGCTCGTTCAAGCTCTCAGCAATCTGGGGGGAAGAGAGACTTGACACCCCTGACTTCTCTGGCAAGTGGTGGCATCACTATTGCATTGTTCTGGAAAGACTCTCACTTTCAGGTGTTGGGGCCCAGAAAGCAATACCCCAATGTGAAGGCCTTAGAAGCAACCTCAAAAGCAAAGTTTTCCTCTGACCTTCTCCTGCCCTCCTGTCCCTCAACCTCATTCTCCCCTGAGGCAAGTCATAGACACTGGAATTCCCCCTTCCCCAAGGTGGGTCACAGGTAGTCTCTAATCTTCCCCCCGTCTTGGAGCTGGCCATAAAGAAATCCTCTGACCTACCTACCTTGTCTGATTGTCGGTCATAAAACCCCCATTCCAGAAAGGCTCCTGCCCCATACCATGGAGGAAGGAATGCCACAAGCAAGGCCAAGAAGAATCTGAACAGACAGGCTTTGCTGTGTTTCCCTACTCAGTCTGTTATCATCAGATCACACTCTCCTTGTCCAGCCACATTTCTACACAGCTGTGCTTGCTTCATAGAACCTAAGCATAGACTGGACAATTTTCCCTATATCTTTGGATCTTCATTCTGAAGACTCCTGTGTCACATAAAACTATGAAATAATAAAAATTTGTTATGCCTTTTCTTCAAATTAATCTGTTTATCAGGTGATTTTTCTTTTTTTTTTTTTGTCTTTTTTCGTGTCCGGCAACGGATCGCAACCCTCAGTGTCGTGCCCGTACTGGACCGGGACCGGCACGGGATCGCAACCCTCGGTGCTGCTCCCGCCCCTCGCTCAGCCAGTGAGCGGGAACCGGTCTGTATGTGGGATCTGAACCCTCGGCGGGAGCGCCACCATGCTCCCAAGCGGCGCACTGTAGCAGTGCGCCACCGGGCCGGCCCTATCAGGTGATTTTTCATCAGGGGTGGAAGAGAGGTCTTTCCTTGGCCCCTACACAGGGAAGTTGGTGGGGACATGTGAAGAAGCAGCCTCAGAGATGGGGTGGCCCATTTCACACAGGTCTTCCTTGCAAAGGCACCAGGAGAGGAAGCACAGAGCCTCAGAAGAAGAAGAAACCTGGAGACAGTATGGCCCAGAAATGGGGAGTCCCCTTACTATTATTTCCCCACCTGTCCTTGCTTGAAGGCCTGGCGGGGAGGGAGACAAGGTCCTTGACCAGGTGCCTGATTCATGGTTGACTGGAGGCTACGCCTGAGCTGTAGTTCATCCTCCTTGGTTTGTCAACGTTCTCCCTAGTGAATGGGGCTTAATCTGACCTTTGGTGAAAAGGTGCCTTTGGGGTGGCAGAAGCCAGGTGGGAGGAGGGGACAGAACATGGCCAGTGCAAAGGTGATAGTCAGTGGACTGGACTGGAGGTGGAACCATGGTCTGGGGCAGGTTGGGACAAGTCCAGCTTTGGGGGAAAGGCCAGCCCCACTCACCTAGACAAATTCTGAGGGGTTCGAATCACCCTGTGGTGGCTAGACAGAAGGGTAGCCTCTTCATTGTCACTAGAGAAGCTCACTGAATGATTTGAAGGGGGTTATCAGTAAACCAAGGAGGCCAGGCCCTATGTAATCTCTAAGCTTCTCTCTAGTTGGATAAGCCTGTGTTTCTCTGAAGTCCTTCCGTAACCTGACAAGAGCAGTCCCAGAATCTGTTACAACTCCCCCACATGCAATCTTGCTGCCTTGTATTTGATCT